TCCATCACTTAAAAAAACAAATAGTTTTATCATATATCTTCAATAAATCATACAACAAACATATCACCCGATGACATAATTTAGGGGTACGATTAATTATCCAGAGAAAGAACCAAAGGTTCATTTCCCTTCTCCTTGAGACAACTCATCATCCATTGTACTCAAGTATTTTAAATATCCAAGGAAATGAGTATAATTCTCAATTCCCATCCCCGCCGATCACACACATCCGTCATGCTCACGGCGATTAAACACCCCACCCGTTCCCACTAAACATATCATCTAAAAAAAACGCACACACAATACATAACAAATCCGAAATAACATTTGCACGCAACCATACTTATCATAAAACATACTGTCAATAAATAAATAAAAACCACATAATAACGTATGACAAACATTTATGTGCGAGCAACCACAGAACACGGAAAACTCACCTTGTAACCGACAAATCCTATCTGAAGCTTTGTTGCTAACCTGCACCTTAATTGTTCAAACTACGAAAAATAACTTCACAACTTCCTTCAACGAATTCTCCCTTGTTTCTCCACCTTTCTTCACAATTTTTGTGGCATTCCACTCTATTTCTCATGTCTTTTATAATGCCCATGTTTGTAACATTTCTAGTTAACCCAAAAGTCCAAATTTATGACTCTAATCAAGTGATGAGTTTTGGAATTAAAATTCCATAATTTCTCTATTTACTCCTAATTAATTCATTAATCATAATTATAATAATATATTTATACCATATGCTTATATATTTATTTTAATTTGAGTTATCACAAACTTCCCCCCTTCGAAAAATTCCGTCCTCGGAATTTGAATTCAGTAAACCAATATGGATATTTGATCTTCATATCTCGGTCGCTTTCTAATGATGCATTCGATCCTTTGGTATCTCCAATCAATAAGCCACCCCGACTCGATCCTTAAGAAGTCCCAATAGGCCGGAAACTCAACCTACCTTTACAAAACCGCACCATGCCTTTCCATGAGAATCCGTTCAATATGACTTTATCTCCACCTGAAACACTATTGACTTCCTACGTTTAACCACATAACCTTTTGGTTGTTCCGGTGCATCCTCCAGTTATCCGTAATTTACTAATTTTTTTACCGGTAGTTTGTTGGACAAGCTCGAGTCCAACCATTCGTTTCTTTCTTAAATCATACCAACATAGTGGTATACTTCATACCATACAACTTAACCAAATTTTCATCAAGTATATTTCACCCAATGACACAATTTAAAGGAACATTTTAGATATCCAGAGAAAGAACCAATGGTCCACTTCCCTTCCCACTTGGCACAACACATCCATTATGCTCAAGCATTTAAATATCTAAGGAAATGAGTAATATCTCAAATCCTATCTCCGTCGGTCTCAACACACCTGTTATGTTCCCGACTATCATACACCCATGTCTCCATTAAATGTGTCATCATATATTAGGCAAACAATTCTAAAAACTTTCCACTTCTCCTCTACCGAGGATTCTTTCCGACTCTTCTTTTGTCCACCTAATAAATCGAAGGTTACATCAATCCTCGTCAACTAAATCTTAATTGGTTCTTTCCTTACATACGACTTAGTGAATAAGTGACAACGTTAAACTTCCATAATTAGTAACGATCTTACACCTTCTTTGACTCTTAATTATCCATGCGCATATATATCGTCCCCCTTTTTTTTCGCGACGAACACTACTAGTGCACCCCATGGTGATGTACTATGTCGAATAAAAACCTTATCAAGAAGATCTTGCAACTGCTATTAAATTCTTTCATCTTGTTGTTGTACTATCTCACTGTCACATTTCCTTGTTCCAGTATCAAGAATTCTTCCTCCAACTGCTTGATCGTCATTCGAGGAAAATACATATCACTAAAGATTCTTGAAAATTCATCCCATGACAACCTATTGGTTGTATCCAACACCCTAACTACTTTTACCCTCCCCATTAGTATAAAGCCTCATTTTTAAACATTATCACGATATAAACCGCATTGTCCTTATTTGCACACTTACCGGTATCAAATGTTTCCTCTATCTCCGTGATCCACATTGATGATACGATAAGATCAACGTCCTCGCAACACGTTCATGGTTTACAAGTCATGAACGTCTTGTAACAATTACCTCATCATTTGTCGTTTAGATCTTGCCTTGATCGTACTGCAACACTAGGGTCAGAAACTTGAAGTGACATACTATATCCATAGCCTTGCTCTTCATCAACCATGTTGCCACAATTCACATTCTATTGTGCATCTCGGTCCTGAACATTTACATTCAACAATGTAGCTTGCATATCCTGAGCAATCTCGTCAATTAATTATTCTCGAGTAACCATATTTGTTGTACAACCTTGTCCGTAATCTCGACCCCGACCACGACCTCGATTGGAGTTAGAGCTCAGTTGCACCAATTGTGCTTGTACTGGTGCTATGACGATTCCTAGAACTCTTCCCCTACACCTACCTCCACCTCGACCTTGACCACGCCAACAACTGGAAGTAGGGTTTATGGGAGTCTCTAGTACTTCTCTGAGTGCAGCAACTTCGGATCCAACTAGAATGTCTTCCCGCTCTAGTGTTACCTCTCGTTCCTTCCGTCTAAGCTTAAGTGTTTACAAAAACACCTAATCTGCTTAAACAACGCTCTGATACCAACTTGTAACACCCCGATTTTCAACTATCGATTAAATGACAAATAATCGTTCCAACATCTCCCATGATCAATTCTAAACTTACGTATAGACTAAACTACAGCGGAAGCAAAATAAAATAAAATAAAATCTTCAATTGAAGAACTTCGGGTGTTACGTCTTTGCGGAACTCCTTTATCGTCTTGTTGTAAAATCCTTCTCCTTGCCTTCTTACTGCCACTTGCTAAATAGTTTTCTGGGTTGCGCACATTTAAAGTGTCTAAATGGGTAAGCCTAGGGCCTAGTGAATTCGTGTTGCACATATATGTCCATCACTTAAAAAAACAAATAGTTTTATCATATATCTTCAATAAATCATACAACAAACATATCACCCGATGACATAATTTAGGGGTACGATTAATTATCCAGAGAAAGAACCAAAGGTTCATTTCCCTTCTCCTTGAGACAACTCATCATCCATTGTACTCAAGTATTTTAAATATCCAAGGAAATGAGTATAATTCTCAATTCCCATCCCTGCCGATCACACACATCTGTCATGCTCACGGCGATTAAACACCCCACCCGTTCCCACTAAACATATCATCTAAAAAAACGCACACACAATACATAACAAATCCGAAATAACATTTGCACGCAACCATACTTATCATAAAACATACTGTCAATAAATAAATAAAAACCACATAATAACGTATGACAAACATTTATGTGCGAGCAACCACAGAACACGGAAAACTCACCTTGTAACCGACAAATCCTATCTGAAGCTTTGTTGCTAACCTGCACCTTAATTGTTCAAACTACGAAAAATAACTTCACAACTTCCTTCAACGAATTCTCCCTTGTTTCTCCACCTTTCTTCACAATTTTTGTGGCATTCCACTCTATTTCTCATGTCTTTTATAATGTCCATGTTTGTAACCTTTCTAGTTAACCCAAAAGTCCAAATTTATGACTCTAATCAAGTGATGGGTTTTGGAATTAAAATTCCATAATTTCTCTATTTACTCCTAATTAATTCATTAATCATAATTATAATAATATATTTACACCATATGCTTATATATTTATTTTAATTTGAGTTATCACATCAACCCTTGCGTAAAATGTCAATGTCCCAAATGGTCTATCATGTACAGTAAAAAAGGAAAGCAACACAAAATAATCATGTCATTTGGAGTTTGGACATCATTTTAGAAAGTTATGAAAAAAGAAAAAAAAAGATTAAGTACATTACACGTGATTCGAGTGACTCTAAGTAGCGTTGTAACCACAGACCAAGCTTGAACTTTTGATTTTTTTTTTTTGGGGGGGGGGGGGGGGGGGGGGGTGGAGGGGAGTATAATATGTATGAAAAGTAGAGAACAAGGGGCCATAGTCATACTTTTAGGCCTAATATGTAAAATTTTTAATAGTTATGGACTAGTTCTAAAAAAAACAGAAGGGGACACAGCCATTCCTGACCCTTAAGAAGATTTGTCCCTCGTTGTAACAAACCTAACGAACACATAATAACTTGCCCATGTTCATTTAATTAAGTTAATTGAACACAATATCAAAATTGATTTTTTATGAAATTATAGTGATTTTTGTGCAATTTGCCCTTAATTAATTACAACAAATTAGATGAGAACACATACACTAAGGGCATCTATAATGCATTGAGTTCTATAGAATTCAATAGATTACCACATCATTTCTCTACATACAACTCTATCAATTTTTTTAAATATAATGTATTAAACTCTACAAATTTTAACAAAACATTATAAAATCTAATTTATAGTATTTCCTTAAGACTTAAACATTTTTTTCAATTCAAAAAATTTATTGAATGCCAAGATTAATGACATGTTAGGCAAAACTAATGTATAGTGGGTAGCTGGTAGCGTTTTGTTAAACGCTGCGTGAGATAACTTTTAGATTTGAAAATTTTTGTTTTAACTAAACGCTAAAAGTACATAGTGTCAAACGATGTTTTTTGTTCAACTCTATCATAGAACTCATCATTATGGACTTTCTATGCTTTAATTATAACAAAAGAAAAAGAAAAAAAATCCGCTCGATCTCCTTAGCTTGTCTGGACCTCGTTTTTTATTTACATTGGTGAAATAACCTCTTTGTTAAGTATGAAATTAAGTCATGTAGCTAGTCCACAAGCAAAAATTTCAAATCTCACGGTTTTGATAATTTGACTATGGGGCCGAATTTCACTACCATGTTGTTTAATTCTCAAATTTCTGATTCTAGTTCTAGGTTCATTTGTACAATTACATGTTCCTAATGCCAATGGACCATCCACAGTTCCACACAAAATTAGGCCCAAGCATGATTTTGAGATTACTATAAAATGTACAATCCTTTCTCCATAAAACTATGTTTCAATCAAATGTATATTTTTTATTGGTAACAAGAAAGACATGTGTGATAAGTTGGACAACAATTTAAAAATGCTAATGTAGAGTTAACTAATAGTGTGTGTATGTGTGTGAATATGCGTAATCTAGAGTTCATCTTTGGGGGATGATGTAGTAAACAACGTGGGATTATTAGCAGATTTCTTAATAGGATAAGAGGCCTCCATTGCTATGCCACAAAGTCCTCTCTTATCAGAGATTCCTCTTTGCATCCTAATGTATCCCTTCTCTCCCCATTCAGCTCCCCATGAGTTCTTCACTATCCAATATTTGGTTCCATCTAGAGTTGTCCCGTATCCCACGGCTGCCACCCCATGATCCAACTCTGTTCCACACTTTCCCGTAAAAACTCCCTGTTACATCATAACAAAAAAAAAAAAATAATAATAATAATTACTTTTTTCAATCTTCAACAAGAATATGTGTATAAAGAAATCAGAAACCCCATCTTTACATTTCAAATCTTTGCTTAATTACCTTTCAAAAATCTGTTCATAAAAACCCAATTTTACTTTCTGATTCTTTGATTAAAGAATTTGTGCATGAAAAAACTACTCTTTATATTTCGATTCTTTGACCGGAATATATTCTTTCAAGTTTAAAGGATTCTTTCATAAAAACACAATTTTTAAATTTCAATATATGATTGAATTATGTTCTTTCAAGCATCAAGAACATGTTTATGTTGTTTTGCTCATGTTTTTACCTCCGAATAGAATTGGAAATCTGGATCTCCGGCATCAATGGCAACAGAAACAGGTTGGTTGGCTACTGCTTTCATTAGTGCTTTCTCATTGTTTTTTGGAACATCTTCATGTCCATCAATTGACACCACCGGAGTATTCTCCTGTCAAGAAAAATTAAAATATGAAAGAGTCTACATGGATTCTCATCTTTTTTAGTGATCATAGGTTAATTTTTTTTTTTCTTACCTTTTTAGAATTACACCTCCCGTCTAGGGCCATGTAAGGGTAGTTTTCCTCTTTAGTTAGACCTCCGATCTTTTTTATGTAGTCAAACGCCAAGTCCATTAACCCTCCGTTACATCCTTGGTTTTCTTTAGTGTCACAATCGATAAGTTCTTGCTCAGATAACGACACTAACTCATTTGTTTTGATGTAATTTATTCCTTCAACTGCCACAACGGTTGAAAATGCCCAACAACTTCCTGTAACATACAAATAGATCAAAACTTTAGAATATGAAAAATAATTCTACTCTATAGTGAAGTGATAATATTTAAAGATTTACCGCATTGCCCTTGATCCTTGACAGGGGTTACAGCTCCTTTCTTTCTCCAATCAACCGAAGTAGGGACAGAATCGACATTAGCATACATGAACGTCTTGTTGCCAATTCGATCCCCTTGCAACATCCTGTGATGCTTAATTTTTGAACCCGCGAACTTGCTCTTGAACTCGTGATTAGTCATGTCTGCAAACTTGTTAAGCTTCAACTTATAAGGCTTGTCCATCTTGTTAGTTTCATGAACATGAAACGCATTGGCTTTAAAAACATTGAACCGTCTCTGCTTCTCTTGGTGGCTTGCCGCCACCTTGTGGTGGCTCCTCCACCTCTCGTACATATCCCATAAGCTATCCTCCGTTTCCAGCTCTTTTTCATGGAAATCGAAGCTTTGGGCAATGCCCAAAACTAAAGCTAAAGATAGGAAAACTAAAAGAAACTTGCTGATTGCCATTTTCTTGAATTGATGCAGGTTTTTTGTTGGGGTTTTGATGAAGATGATGAAAGGTGAGGAGTTGGAGGGCAGTTTATATAGAGGAAAGATGAAGATTGGTGTAAGAAGAGTGCAAGTTGAAATAAAAAGGTTACTTGTGGTCATGAACAACCATCAGGAATCAATAATGGAGGTCAAGAGTGAGAAAGATGAGAGAGAAGAATGTGTGTGATCTTAAAATTACCTGAAATGTGTATGAAACTCTTATTGATAAGAACCGATTCAGGCCGTGAGTGAAGGAACCAAAGGTTTGGAGAGAGAGATGCTGATATTATGATGATGTATGCATGGTATACTCGTTATGGGGTTAGAATGGGTGGAAGGAAGGCGACAAATGGTATTGGTTTCTTTGTTATGCACCTTTCAGTTTTCTAGCTCCAGTTGCCACTTTAAGCGTTCTTCTATGGGTTGCTTTAATGTGACAATCAATTTGTTGGGGTTACTTCTGTTGCTTAAAACCGCAAAGTCTGTCTTTTTCAAATTTCTTTTTCCTTAAAAAAGATTTCTCAAATGCAATAACACCGAAAAGATATATTACATTTATTTTGGATTCGGAATTATATTTTGAACATGATGATTCGATATTAAAGCTAAAAATCTAAAAAGTTTTTGCACTGACTACCTTTAAAATGCATACTCTATTATATTACCATTTTTGTCCTTTAATTTAAAGATGTGACGAAATGTCGTCACTTGGTTAATTTGTAATTAACAGTTATAAAATTATTCGATTAACCGTTTTCAATTTTATATTAAGTTTTGTATTCAACACCTTTCATAACCGATGGATAACTAGATTTTGGATGTTAAGGTTCTAGAGTAATTAAAAACAATGTTTTAAATAAGGTTACCCATGACTTGCTGACAATTTCAAACCATAAGTTTTTTCGAGCCGTGGCGAGTCACGTCATTTGTAATGCGTGACTTAAAGCAACAATTTTGTATATAATTAATAATTTTATATATTTTCTATTATTATTCATTTTTATATACATATATAATTTGAGGCGACATTTTGTTAAAACTTGCGGCTAGTATAAAACCTAAGAGCCATAACGATTTTTTAAATATTTGATTAAAATGTCTAATTTTATTAGTGACATCACTTTGATCAACTTTTATCGGAGGGTATTGATTTGTTGGTGGTGATGGTACCAGTGGCGGACCTTAGTGGAGCATTGGGGATCCCGGGCCACTACTCAATTTCCAGCATGTAGTGTAATTTTTTTTTCTATTAGGTGCACCGGTTTGAAGTACGAGGGACATCCCTATTAAAACAGTCTGCATCTGCCACTGGATGGTACGTACGTGAAATCTAGAGTCTTTTTATTGTAAGTTGTCCTTGTTTTAGCAAGTAAGTTAAAGGGAAAAACTACTTTAATTTATGATTACGTTGAATTAATTTGGCTAAATAAGGTTAAACCATGAGGAACACCCAAATATCATACATACTTATAAAGCTAGCATTTTTTCTTGAATCTCATGCATTTGAAACCCCCTTTTTTAACTTCCTCAAACTACATTCATCTGAAACCCTCTTTTTCAACTAATGCAACTCAAAAGTTTTCTTAATTATGATTTAACACTCAAAAGTTTTATAACTTATATTATGTTTAATTAGCATTTAGTGAAAATTTTACTATAAAAAAGTCAATCTTTTGTGTCTTTTGTGTTATATAAAATCTTACATGTAAGAAGGATTTGAAGATATTGTGATTCAAAAGTTTTCATATAGTTGAAACATTCACGATCCAAATATGGTAATTGTAATATGATTTTTTCTTTCAACCAAAACAAAATGAAGCTTTTTTTATTCTTTCTTTATATTCAGTTTCTCATTTAATCTTTATATGTGATTTGTGTGTATTACTCAATCTTGAATGTGACTATCCAAACATCAATGTTTTGCTTGGAATATCTTTCTGATTCTTTTTTTTTTCAAGAAAAATATTTTGATTGCAGGTTAGTGAAGAATTGTCATCAAGTTTCTATTGTTGAATGGTGTTAAATGAAGAAAGAAGATTCATAAAATGGATATAGGTTTTTTGTTTGAGCAAAGTTGATGAATGTTAGTTTTTTCTTTTGATTTAAATGTATGTTTATGTAACATCTTTATTTATATATTCAACCACCCAATACTCTTATTTATTTGATTGTAGTTTTTCTATTTTGATTATGTTTATTTTCTATTATTTTTTTGTTGGGTTATCCTACACAACATATTTAAAAGATAACATAATTTTGAACATTTGATATGTAATTATCATAGGCTTATCATGATATGTTCTTCATATGAAAGTAATTTATCCATATTACTACGACAAGAATTACATATGACATTTACGAAAATATATATATTATATGTGATTTGTTTAACATGTATATGCACCTATGTATGTTATAAATTTATAATTAAATATCTTTATGTTTAATAATTGAAGGGATTAAAATGATGCATCAAAACCAATTATTTAGACGAATATAATAATAATAATAATAATAATAACAATAATAATAATAATAATAATAATAATAAATATACATTTCCATGTACGGCATTCATTTGAAACTCACACTACAACTCAAGAGTTTTCTAATTTATGTATATTTATTAGTTACAACTCAAAAGTTTTTAACTTATGATTATTAATTAGTAATCACTAATAACTTTTTATTTTCCTTTCTTTTATAAGATTGTAAAGTTTTGCTCATTAAAAACATTAATGTATTTGAAGAGATTTGTGATTTAAATATGAAGAGTTAATATAAATGTTATAATAGATGTTTTAGTGTTTTTATGTTACTAAAAGTTATAGTATTTATTTTTCATATTTTTTATTATTCGTTGTATATATATCTTTTTTAATACAAATATTATAATAGATGTTTTTGTATTTTTATGTTACTAAAAGTTGCAGTTCATATTTTTGTTCATACGTTTTGTTACCCGTTATATTATCATTCATTTTGATATATAATTTACACAATTTTAAACGGTTTATAAAATTATTAAATAATTGTATATATCACAATGACTTAAAAATTAAACTATAATGTTTAATAAAACTAATATGTTAACTATATTAGTTTGCTTTACTACTAACATTTTGTTTCAAAGTAGAAATATTAAATAATAATTTAGTAAAAGTTATTATTTAACTATATAATTCTATTCTCGCGCAACACACGGGGATTCGCCTAGTTTCGTAGTATATATGTTTCAATCTAATGTTGTGCATGTTAATCGTACGTGATAACAATAGAGAGTAAGGAGGTGTTTGGTATGGAGAATTGGAATCATTTCTACTTCTCTTGTTTGGTATACAACTAAAAATTGAGAAATGAGAAAAAAACTGATTCTCTTTCCTCCTATTTAATTCTCTAATTTTTGTGAAGAAATGATGAGAAAAGATAATTATTAACACCCGAGAATCAGGAAAAAAAAGCGGAGAATTAAATTGAAGGTTGCAACCTCATTCATGTTCCAAATTCGAACCTTGCTTTCTACTCCATCTCTCATCGTATTTTGCATCAGTATTCCTATGATTTTGGCAATTACTCAGTTGATTTTGGAAGGGAAAATCGATTTAGGAACATTAGTCGATTCAAAAGATTGAAACACTATCGATTTGCATATAACTCTTTCCTCGCAAAAGGTAAACACTCATTAAGTGAAATTGCTTTTACTCATCCATCAAAATTGTTTTTTTACTCGTTGATACAACAGATAACACATACCAATTGAAACACTCATCAATTGAAAATGTTTTTTTTACATATTCTTATACGATTTGGCAGCCACAAGATTCATGAACAAACGATCATAATTTTTGTGATTACATAGTGTGGGAATTAATGTTCCTGAATCTTTCAATGATAAATAACATTTTGAAGTATGTAATGGAAGATAATAAGAACTAGTTGAGGGAGGTATCGACTGTATTAGATTGGTTCCTCATTTGTTTTTTATAGGGGAGTTTTATAGCCTATAAGGTGTTTGATGAAATGCTATTGAATCCTTTTGGGATTGAATGATGATGTATAGTTGTTTTACTCAATTTTTGATTGATCCAGTCCTTTTATACTTGCTTTACTTGAAAAAACAATAATTTTTTTTTGGGAAAATGAACAACCAAAGAATGGTTTTGTATGTGAGCCTAGCATGGCTATGACATTTTTGTCCATTTTTTTTAATCTTTTTGCCTGTTTTTAACTTTTTTATATATCTAATTTGCAAATAGGAGATCAACTTGCCATTGGGGACCCTCCTAAGGCAAATAGACCATATTATGCTCATATGGATAAATGCTTGTGGAATGGCAATTATAAATGAGGTGCTTGATAGCCTCAAGATCGAATCAGAGAAGTAGGAATACAAAGCATTTCTTTAAAAATATAATGTTGAGAATTATGTATCTTTGATTTTTTTTTTTTTTTGTAAATTGTCTTTTTTATATGAGAATCAAGTTTTCGGATACAATATATTTCTTATAAAATTAAAGTTACATATATAAAATGTTGATTGATAGTTACAAACAATAATTTATAAAAAGGAAATGACAAAATAATTAATTAGAAATATAGAAAATACATAATCACATTAATATAAAATAATGTTGTTTGAAAATGATAAGTATTGTAAACAAAGTTCATTTCCATTTCATTGCTTAGTTCAACCAAACAAGAGAATTAATTCTCAAGGTCATTTATCAGATGAATTATCTATTATATCAAACAGTGGATTCATTTCTCTTTCTCCAACTTAATTCTCTTTCTCTATATTTCCATTCCCTCCTTTAATTCCCTTTCTCTGTACCAAACACACCCTAAAAGTATATGGTATTGCTAAGGGAAAATTGAATTACAAAGAAAAGAAAAAAAAAAGACTATAAAATAGAAAAGCAAACTAGGGTTGAATATATATATATATATATATATATATATATATATAATATAGTTAAAACTCCAAATAAAATATTAATACAAAAAGTCAGCCCAAT